AAAAAAAGGAACCCATACTAGAGAAAAACTTACCATGAATATAAATTCCAGTTGCTACTATGATAAGTTTAGTTTCTGCAGTTAAATTTACGAACAGCTCAGCATTGCATAAGATTAGAAGTCACCAAACAAGAGTTGTTTCTTTCAGCAGTATCCTGTAACAAACACAACATCAGTTTTCCAATCGTTTCCTAAGTAAAAAATCCAACTTCTTTCACAATGCTACACTGAAGGTACTTTTACATCAAGGACACAATGAAATATGATTCTCCAAACTTCACTGTGTAAAAATGCACACTTCTACAATCCTCTAAAAGATGCACCTGACAAAATACTAACAGCTGTACTACCCAAGCCCAAGCCATAATAAGATGTACACCTGGCTATACCCATGACACGTTTTTTTAAAAAAAGGTCACATGCACAAAGTCGAGTCAAATGCTTAAAACCTTTCTACAAAGGAGAACATTTAAAAATGGTAATGAGGAACAGTTACATTTCTGGATAGAACAACTATGATTTATGGCTTGCAAAATAAGCCTCAATGTCACTGTCAAGGTTCCAGTGAACCACAAGGAGACAATATCCTGACTTTTTTTCAACTAGACGTTGAATTTTTCTAGCCTCTCCCACACCACAAAACCAATCTAGGATTGCGATACGATGTCCTCCCAGATGAAGGAATCGTTTAGCTGTCTCCCTGAACATTATTGAGACATCTAGCATACTCACTATGTCTTTCACTGCAAGGTATTTCATTACTTCAAGAAACATTTCGTCCGGGAGGTCAGCAATTAACGACGCCATCTGAAACCATTGGAAACCATTACAAATTACAACTCCCAGACCCGTAACTTTGGTCTGGAGTCCCATAAGCGGCAGCAGCGCTGCCCTGGGACCTCAAGACCAAAAATACACACGTACGCAAGTGGTAATACGGCCACAAAAAATAAGTTTACAACAGGCATAGTCAAACAACAACCTAGCTAATTTGTCACTTTTTACTTCTGGAAGTTCACAGTTGTAGGCTATCCGAACACGAATAACACGAACGTCCACCAAATGCTGGTCAGATATCCTAAAAAAAGAATACACAAATCAATACGCCAAGAAACTCAACAGCACATTAATTTTAAGTGCGATTTTACGAAATTCTAACTTACAAAACTGGACTGAACCCCGAGTGGTAACACTTCTCTAAATCCACAGGTGCTCACAGAAAATGTCCACTGAATACCGATGTCACTTTAGATACCCTGCAATGTGAGTAAATAATAGAATACTCTCCTACAACTACACTCAATGAACATCAAAAAGTTCCTTCTACCATGCATTTTGGGAAATTCGAACGTACAAAACTGGACCGAGTGGAAGAGACGATTGGCACACACTACTGTACTCCTAAGAAGTAACACTCCTCTAAATCCACAGGTGCTCACAGAAAATGCCCACCGATTACTTATGTAACTTCAGATACCCTGCAATATGAGTAAATAATAAAATACTCTGCTACAACCAGAACCAATGAACATCAAAAATTCTAACGCTAACGCGTTAATCGGCCCCTGAAGTTTTAACGAACAATCGTATGCACACGAAGAAATAATCATTTAATTAATCACTTCAATAGATTCAGCGTTGAAA